GTCCATAATTCCACTAACGATCCCACACTAAAATTTATTGAAAGTGTGGAAAATTCACAACAATGGATGTCGTGGAGGGATCATATTGCAAGAGCTATGTTCGATAAGCGGAGGAGCAGACGATACGATAGCTTTAGTTAGTTTGTTATTTGCATCACTATGTATTCATTTATTATTGTACATAATTTTGTATTTTATTCTTATTTGATGACAATGTATTCATACCATCTTTATTATTATGATAAAGTAATGTGAATTGGCTAATAGGTTTATGAATGAAAACGAAAAGAGTTGGAATAAGGGTCAAAATTGGTATAATAGGTTTATATTTTGGAATAAGGGAAATATTTTCAGCCATTTTTTTGTACAAAATAAAAAAATAAATGGCATAATAGGTTTAATAAATATGGCTTAGGATGAGGTTTTATCATCAATACATATAGCAAAACATCAAATTGAATAATAAACCTATTATACCATGGTCAACCCAAGAATCAAAGAGATGAACATTATGTGAAGACATACATGAGGGGAGTGTGAACAAAAATTATGCATGGGTTGTAAAAAAACAATCGAAATCGTTAGCAACTACTATGTGCTGTGAAGTTTAAACATATGATGTATTGTTTACCTGTAGAAAGCAATTGCTTACGTTGAAAAATATTGGTGAGAAAGAAGAGGACGAACAAAGAAAAATGAGCAAGAAGAAGACGAATAAAAAAAATTGTGTATTTCGCTGGAGTTCTCCATCAATTTAAATAGGGTAAAATTTGTAATGGGATTGAGATTATGGGGTTCTAACTTCTACGGTGAGGTGTTAGTGGGGGGTTAGAGTAGAGAAAGAAAATCCGAAAAAAAAAAATATATATATATACAACTGCAAGGAAAAAAAAGAAAAAGAAAACGAAAAATGAGTAGAGGGATAGTAGAATTGCATGAAATAGGGAATTAGTTATAGTGAAATTATACCACTACCCAAAAGAATGGGAAAATATTCATGCAAATATTTTAAATTATAAACCGAACAACTATTATAGTCTTAATTAGATATTTATTAATTGACAAAATCGCCCATAGGTTTAGGTTTAACCTTTAGTTTAAAATATCTTCCTTTTTATATTTTGATGTAATATGGTTGTATATTTATCTTAAGGTAAATTACACCCACACCCCTGAGATATGCTAAAATAAGTTTAAAGTCCCTGTGGTGTCGATAATTGTACTCACCCCCTTGAAACATAGTTAGAAACTGTAATGAGATAATGCATTTGATACGTTACTCCGGTAGAGTTTTAACGGACTATTAGTTTCAGGAAGTGGTGGAGACAACAAAGATCTATGTGTGGTTTAAGAAATGTTGGAGGAGTCATGTCACTTCATAACTCTATGTATGCACGGGATTGAAGTAAAATTAATACAAAAGTAAAGTTCAATTTAAACGATAAAATTGAAATTTCAATTCAATTTGATGGTTGAAGTTTGAGGAATATTGTTCTTTATCACCCATAACATGCCCCAACAAATTTACTATAAATCAATGATGCTAATAAATCTCAAAAGTTTATTAATTTAACTTTATGTTTTTGATGTCATATGGTTGTATATTTATATTATCTCAGTTAAGGTAGAAGTTTGACGAATCTTTTTCTTTATCACCGATAACATGCCCCAACAAATTTACTATAAATCAATGATGTCAATAAATCTCAAAAGTTTATCAGGAGCAACCTTAATTTTATTAATAAAATAAGAACCAAATGTTTTTCTAAGCAAACTAAATAATTTTTCCATAAAATTAATACTAAGTAAAATGACAATATTAGTCGAACAACATATGTATATTTGGGGGCAACAAGTCTGGATACTTGACGGATTTATTAAAATTGATTATATTAAATAAATAAAATTAATGACAATTATAACTATCAAATAAGCGTGAAAAATTTCCTAAGATTTACCAGCAACCTTCATTTTATTAATAAGATACGTGAATTCGGGGTCAAAAAATCCGGATACTTCATGTATTTATTAAATTTGATTATATTAAATAAAATAAAATAATAAAAAAAATTAAATAAATAAATGACACTTATAAGTATCAAAATGAGCGGAAAAAGTTTCTTAGGGTTTACCAAAACCAACCTTACTTTTACTAATAAGATAAATGACAATTATAAGTATCAAATGAGCGGGAAAAGTTTCTTAAGGTTTACCAGAACCAATCTTACTTTTATTAATAAGAAAAAAATTGGATACTTAATGTATTTATTAATCTTGACTATATTAAATAAAAGAAAATAATAAAAAATTAAAATAAATAAATGACAATTATAAGTATCAAATGAGCGTGAAAAGTTTATTAGAGTTTACCAGAGCCAAACTTACTTTTATTAATAAGATAAATCACAATTATAAGTATTAAATGAGCCGGAAAAGTTTTTTAGGGTTTACCAAAACCAACCTTACTTTTATTAATAAGATTGAAGTTATTTATTACTTTATTGAGTTTTTTTAATTTAATATAATATATGGGAACAAGTTAAGATGAATTCAAATGGGATCAAAAAAACATTGGGTGGTTCGAAAGACTGACAAATGTAGAAGGTCATGGTTCATTGCCGACAAAAAAACTTTGATTAACGGTTTTTTGGGGGCCCACAGTATAGCACGAACTCCACATTGGTATGATATTGTCCAAATTGGGCCATGTCCAATTGATTTTGCTCTTGACTTTCCCCAAAAGACCTCATACCAACAAAGTTGTTATCCCCTCCTTATAAAGGAGTGATCTTTCCCATATTAAACAGATGTGGAACATTGTTTGCACCTCAACACCCCCTCGCTCGAACAAAGGATCACCATAGGCCGGACCACAAAGGATCATTGAGCCCCCACTCAATTTTGCACCCTGAGGCTCACACCATTTTTGTCCGCGCACTAAGCCTCGAACAGAAAACACTGAGCCTCCCACCTGGAGCTCGTAGAGCTGCCTACCATTTGCGCACTGGGAGCTCACCGTTTTCGTTCGTCACTGAGGATTCCGGCAATTCACACAAATTCCGACAATTTCCACCATATGATTAAGTCTGGGCCATGGCTCTGATACCACTGTTGGCTATCCTTCCGAAGAAACAACTAAATAATAATGTGTAGCCATAGTATTATCCATAAAGCAAAACCCATCAAAATATACTTAAATCAATGGCATCAATTAATCAAGACAATATTCAATAGCAAATTAACGTGGACATAATAATCATTAAACAAATCAAACCGCTAATTAAAGATAACAAGAATTGAGAACTGCTGCAACAGTTGCAAATTACAGAATTTGCGTAAATTAAAAGGGAAAATGAAAGTGGAACCGCAGAACACAAACTCTGCAATGGGGAAGCTCCGACAACTGCTCCGGCGGCGATTCGATTTTCCGGCTCAGTTCTCGTTCTCCAAGTCCTCGTCCAAGATCCAAGTGGGGCCTCCAAACACTTACCGCAACACAAACACACACACAACAACACAATACACACACAGTGTATTCCAAGGGAAAAAAGCCCAAACCGAAACCGACAAATTCAAATTCTAATCTCACATTTATTTCTCTCTAAAGAAACAGGACTCAAACTCACGAAAAAAATAGAGTTATTTATCTCAAAAAATGGGGGGAACTCTCAATAAATCACATGCTCCAAACTCTTTTATTGGTTGAGAAGAGGAAGAGGGGAGTTGCACTTACCGTTAGAGAGAGAAGGGAAAATCACCACGTGAGATTAGGTTTGTGTGTGCACTGCTGGTAAGTGGGATGCAAGGTGAATTTTTAATGGGTCATTCACAAAGAATTTATTTGGGCCACACTCTACAAATGTTCCACATCGGTTTAATACATACCACAATGATCCTATTTTAAACCTAAATTGAACGTTTTCAATACATACCACAATAACAGTCTACTAATTTACTAAGGCCTCGTTTGCTTATTTATATCGGATTACGTTGGATTAGGTGAGATTGGATTAATATTTCACTGATTAATTTATTATTTGGTCAGTAAGATGTTTGATTCGTTAGATTAAATTTTGATATTAAATGTGATTGTCTAAAAAGTGTTTTAATTAACAAAATTAAGATACTATTTTAAGGATGAAATTATATTTTTCTCTTTTAATCACCCCCTACAAAATTAATCGCAGGGGGAGGGGTTCTACTAACTTAACCAAATAATATCATTTAATTACGAGCTTAAATGTAGTAGCGAGCTTGATTAAATACAAATCTCATTATTTAATTAATAGAGTTTAATAGCACAAAGCAAACGAGGCCTCAATTATGTAATGGCAAATAAACACATTGAAAAGACTTTTTTAAAGCAATGATCTTATTTTAGTTTATTTTGTTAAATGTTAAAACTCTTTTTACTGTAAGTTAGGGATGTTTTGATATGTTGGATATAAATTTCGATCAAAAAAAAGTAAAATGATATTTTTAGTTGGACCATCAATCACCGATACCAAACACGTGATTAGTTGGATAGGAAATATTTTGAACAGTATAATCTTTAGATTATGTAATCCGATCGCCCATACCAAACTTGGCCTATAACCAAACTTGGCCTATAAGTATTGCTCGAGCTCAAGTTCATTTCTAATCGAATGAAATCCAAAACACAAGTTTAAAACTAAATAATAAATCAAACAAGTCTGAAAAATCATATTAGTATCTAAATAATGTGTTTGGCCTCAATTCAATTCAATTATACTTCCATCTACTTCATTGCAAGGAATTAAAATGAAGAATGTAAACTCATAATATTTAGATAAATACTTTTTCAACATATATATTAATAACAAATTCATAACTTCATTTTTTTATAATTGTGCACTACTAAAATTCATGTAATTTGAAAAAAAAATTCTCAAACTATTCCAATTCAAATCCCCAAGTGCAGCAGCTTTTAATCATTTCCAAAACTTTTGTTGGTTTTATATAAGTTGAAATAAAAAAAAATCGAAGTAAACCAAAGGTGTGTGAACTTGGATCAAACCAACCCAAAGTGTACGACACACCTCACCTCACCCAGAACGCCAACTTCTGACTTCTGCGATGGCAGCGTGTGAAATGCGGGGCCGAGTGGTGTTTTGATTCTTCTGCGAGAACACAGCCCCCATTTTCCAGCGCCGTTTTATTTGTATTCGTATGCCTTCAATTGTTCTTTCTGCAATTTGAATCTGACTGGTAGATCTGCACTGACGTTCGTATACTCTTCGTCAATTCGCCGATCTCAAATTTTCTCGAGTAAGTGCCCACCGCAATTATCAATTTATTGTATTTGACTTGTGAATTTTTTCGTAATGAGTTGATGTGAATTTCGGCGTTCGTTGGATTTTTCAATCCTAATTGATGATGATGTGAAAGAGATATCTGTTGCTTCATTACTATGAATTTATGATCTCTTCTTTCATTTTTGTTTTTCGTTAGTGTGCTTAATTTTCTATGATTTTGATCTTCTTTTCTTTTTTTATCTGAATTGACGATGTTGGCAATGCTATTTGTATTAAATTTTGTTTAAGTGGGTTGGCATCACTTTAGAAAGATGAAGTGAAAGTAATGCCTTTTGGTTTGGACCGATTTTGCAGTAATGGCGGAAGAAGTGGGCGAAAATGGTAGCGTGTTCGAAAACCATGCAGAAGATGTTAAGAAACAGGACGATGAGCAACTTCACCTGAATACAACTGTGATTGACCCGAATCGTGTGAAGCAGAATGGACTCGTTGATGGAAACACAGATAAACAGTTTAATTACAGCCAAGATGAATTTGTACAGATGGTGTTAGAACTCAATTTCCAGAATGAATATATGAAGTCTCATTACAAGGGCTTGAAGAATCAGTTTCTGGACTCTGAGCGGCCTGACCCGCAGAAAGTGCCGCATGATGATATGAGGTCTCTGGATGATGTCAGAGAGCTTCATAGAGAAATAGAATCTTTGAAGAGACAACTTTTTGAGGAAAAACAAACACGAGGTGCTGCAGAGGAGGCGTTGACGCATCTACGAGCTGAACATTCTGAGGCAGATGTGAAGGCACAAGAGCTTTCTGCTAAACTTGCTGAAGGTTGTATACTTTGTTGTCAGTTTTGAGATTAAAACATTATCACTACTTTGATACTGGATACCTTTTTCATCACAGATACAAAATGATTTACATATCTGAGTGGTATTGTAATCTGCTGCATATGTTTATCCTTGTACATTATTTGGCTTAACATATATAATGTTTTATCATTCTGGCGTAGCTCAACAGAAGATGGATCAAGAAATAAAAGAGCGAGATGAGAAATATTCAGACCTTGATTCCAAGTTGAACAGGCTCCATAAAAGAGCAAAACAGCGTATTCAGGATGTGCAGAAAGTACGTCATTCATTTCCTTTTCCCATTTCGTATTTACGATTTTTTTTCATTCCCCCACTTTCAGTATCCTTTCATTTTGTTGGATTGGTCCGACATCATAATCTTTTATAATTATCCCAACTATCCAGCAGATAAAATACATTCTAATTTTATTGTTCTTGGATATGCTACATGTCTTGCATAACTCGTGTCTTTGTTGATATAATGACTTGAATCTTCGATGATGGACATTAGGTTAAATATCACGGCAATGTTTGGAACCGTTTTGGATCTTATTTTGATTTCATTTTGAGGAAATATGTTTTGGGGGAATAATTTGAGAATGAAAGTAATGTTTGTTTGTATTTTGGAAGGAGACAAAATACACTGTAGAAGTCAAATCATGTTTAAAGGTGTTAGAAAAAGATATTTTTGAAGAAGAAAATTGAAAGGTGAAGTGATGTTTATTTGTTTTTAGTGAAGACATTTTTTACTGTAGTAATCAAATCATTTTACTGTAGCAGTCACATCATGTCTGGAGGAGAGAGAAACTTTTGAAATTGTTTTGAGAAAATGATTTGAAAAGTGTAATAAATCTCATTTTGTTTTGGGGAAACAGTGAGAACAAAATAAAAACGGTTCCAAACATTGCCCACATATTTAAGTCCATGATTTGCCCTTTTCCATTTTATAAAGCTTCTGAATATTGCTGTTTCTATTTCTAAAAACATTTGCTTTTATATCTTTTCATTAAGTGCTTTAACTATCTAGAATCAATCACTGAATGCATTCATGGATGGGCCCATGAGGCGGTTAGCTTGTAATACGGTTGAGCCTATTGACTACTAAATCTTGGATAAAGGTCTGAGTGACGATTAATACAAGTCTAAAAGAGGCAAATAGAGATAGAAGTTAAAAGGCCTCCATGAATTATTATTTTTATTGAAACGCGGAGACGCTCAAAGGAGTTAAAGGCAAGTTCAGTTCAACATTTATGACAGAGGAACACAAATTGAATTTTGAACCTCGGTTTAGAGGGAGGGAGGTAAAATGAGCCTCCCGATCTCAAGGATCTAAGTTTCTCAAGACATGAAAAAGTACATAATATTTTGGCCATATATATCATATCTATCATGAAAGGACCTTCTGTTCTTTAGTTCTTTTAGGGTAGAAGTGCTGGGAAACTGAAAATGGAGCCTGATTGGTGGAGTGCGCTGGAACTTACTCTATCTCGTTCAGATATGCAGAAATCGTGATGCCTCATAGTTGATATAGTCTATGTAGTTGAAGAGTTCTGTATGCATTTCTCTAGTGAGATCTTTTTTTATTATCCTTGATGATGAGTCTAAGTCTCTGGCTCCATTACACAAGCAGACCTTAAAGCAACATTCTCAGATCTTAATTAAGTTATTTTGTTTTTTGTGCCACAAAATTTTGTTTGTTTCTTTATTTTTGTGGATGAGAGAGTTGGATTTATTGAGGGTATGAGTGGGAGGTTACCCTTATTCGAGGACTGATGTTTCTATCATCTATTTTACCTGTTACCATCCAATGTTTTAATGAAAGAACATTTACTGCAGACTTAGTTGGTGGATTTGACAAGGGTTTTACTGTAGTGGGCTTAGTTCAATTGCTTATGATGGATTTTTACTGTAATGGGTGTAGTTTAATTTCTTATCGGGATTGTGGCTTTCAGGAAAAAGATGACCTTGAAGAGCAGTTCCGTGAAGTTACTAAGAAAGCTGATCTTGCATCTTCTCAGCTGTTAGCACTACAAAATGAGTTGGAGCGGACACGGCAACATGCAAATGAAGCATTGAAAGCAATGGATGCGGAGAGGCAACAATTACGAAGTGCAAACAACAAGTACAGTCTCCAAAAAGCTTTGTATCAGGATTTTGCTTTTACATAACTGGTTATCGTATTATGATATTTGCAAATGTTCACTTACTTTGAATTTGATATTTGCATCTTTTGAAAATAGTTGCAATTGTGAAAACCAAAATTACTCTGGTTGAATTTCCTCTGTGCTCTTGCCAGTGTCCTACATAAGTAAGTGTTAAAATGTTCTCGTCCGACATAATTACACTACCCAAAGAACAACCCATTCATCCACAAAAAAAACAAGTGTGTAGGTTAAACTATATGTTGAAAATATGATGTCCCTCCATCCCAGTAAGATCATCCTTAATATAAAATGTAAAAGCACTTTTGTGCTTGTAAATTCAGCACTTTTGTGCTTGTAAGCATTCAGTTGTTTGTACTAGATGAATTTTGATGGTGCATTTACGCAAGTATATGGCCTTGGATATGCTTTAGATTTGTCCATGTTTCTTTCATAATGTTTGACAATTCTGTCTTATGTAGACTTCGGGATACCATTGAAGAATTACGTAATTCATTGGTTCCTAAAGAGAATGCTTTGGAGGCAATGCAACAATCAGTTCTGGACAAAGAACAGGTACTCATCAACTCCTTTGAAGGGAAATTAAGAATACTTATGCTATTATGGTCATTCTGAAGTTTGAGTTTGTTGATTTACATATTATCTGGTCTCACGCTGTTACCTATCTACTGTAATTAATGGTTAAATATTCTCACATTCCAATCTTACATAAATATGTGTGTATCCATATGTCTCGGTATATATATTAATATGCATGGATTTTTTAAGTCTCTCTCTCTCTCTCTCTGTCTCACGCAGTCTAATTTACCTTGAGCATTATGCTGCTACAGTAATAATGGATAACTATTAGCATTTTTCAAATTTAGAAGTGATGAGATGCACACATAACAAAGAGGACACTGGATCTGTAAGATACTCGAAAGTACACATGTGATATTATTCAACATTGCCTCAAAGAAAACACGTATAAAAGGAGAAATAAGGTTGTGTTTACATAGCAAACTCCTTTACAGAACCAAAGCACTTTATGCAAATGGGCCTATGCAGTAAGAAGTTAAATGTTGTGCATGAATATATATTTATTTGAAAGATTAACTCTGGTTAATCACTTCTCCTTTCCATTTGCTAGTTTGTTAGTTTCTATATGTTATTACCCTGCATTCGTCCCTGGCAGTCATCAAGTTCTTTCTATATGTTATTACCCTGCATTCGTCCCTGGCAGTCATCAAGTTCCTGAAAACATTTATTTCACTTTAAGAACATGTGTTTGTATTACTGCAGATGGTAGAAGACTTGCGAGGATTACTGCAGGTAGCCGATGAAAAGCGGCAAGCTTCCATTGCAGAACTCTCTGTAAAGCACCAGAAGGTAAAGTACATGAAGATATCTTAGCAAACTTTGGCTTCTCATAAATTTCATTCCTTCTTTAGTTGCTGATTCTCCTGTTCCAAATTGCACATTACCAACTTTCTGGCTTTTAAAATTCTCTTTTCCAGCAAATAGAGAACATGGAAGCCCAAGTTGCTGATATTTTAGCTGAGAGAAGCCGAGCAACTGAAACAATATCATCTTTGCGGGTACACTCTTATAACTCTTTCTCTTAAGTATGGTTCCTTTAAAAAGATAAAGCTGCAGTAATTAAATTACAGTGTACTTTTTTGTTTCATCTAGATTAATTGATTAATTTCTTGTGACATCTTATCATTTCTCCCCTCCATCTTACAAGGAGAATGTTGGTGCTCCAATTTTCAGATGCTAAATTTAATCATAAGTTCATTTCTTTTTCTCTTTCCAGACTTTAATTGTGGAAAAAGACACCAAGATTGCGGAGATGGATGTTGCTTCTAGTGGTGAAGCAGCAAGACTTAAGGCTGCAATAGAGACTTTAAAAGGAGAGCTCAATCATCTGAAAAATGAACATGTATGATTTTTTCTTTTGTACTTCCCATATTGCATGGATGGTCTTGATAACTTTCCACTATCAACCTTATATTCTGTGTTCAATCTCACACTTAGTTGGTTAAGAGGCATAAAGTGGATTTTAAAAGTTGATTTCTGATAGTGATCCTTATTGTTTCCGATGCTCAATATTTTGTTTATTACATTTACTCTTTTCTTTTTTTTTTTTTTACGTACTAATATCTATTTCTTTGAGGTAACAGAAGCACAAGCAAACATAATGTGTTGTAGAAGTGGGAATATAAAATTGTAGGAATAATTGGACTCATGGCGAGTCTTAGCATTTATAAAATGCAATGTTTTGTCAAGTAAAGTTCAGTCTTTAACTATAGGATAATAAGGCTCATGATTCATTCAGGGGAAAGAAAAAGAAGAATTAGAAGCTGTTTTGCGGTCAATTAGATCAAAACTGGAGATTTCTGAAAGTAACCGGATTCATGTCGAAGTCGAAGCAGCAAAATTAAGAAGTACTTTTCTTCTTGGCATTTTCTTTTACATTTGGGTTATGGAATACCATTATCAACGTTTTTCTTTATCAGGTCAATTGGAGTCAGAACTTTCCGTTCAAACTCAGATGCTGAATAGCAAAGATGCTGAGCTTGGGGAAACCAGAGAAAAGGTGTGTGTGTGTGTGTCATTTATTATTATTATTTTGCATCTGCTTTAATGAATATCTAGATATATAACAGCCAACTTCTCAGTTGCATACTGCCACTTTTTTCTAAACTTTGCCAAGATTTCCCTTATTATATATAAATTTCATGACATATTAAGAGTAATTACAGCATCATTTTAGCTTCATAACATGGGATAAAGGTGGTTATTTGTGAACTAACAAAACTATGAAGTTGATGAATAAGTCATTTTTGTTTCATGGGGACGGGGTTTCATGAGTGATATATGAAGATTTACCAAGTATCTGAAGAAAAGAGAATATTAAAGATTTTACAATAAGGGAACTCAGTCAATTTAAAAAATGTTAGTACTACAAATAAGTAGCAGCATACTTAAACACATGGAAGCTGGTTTACATAGGAAAGCGACAGCATATGAGTGACAGAGTAAATCTCGTTCAGATGGCAAAACTTGATACTATTGTTTTAGCTTAAATGGTCATTGGTCCATGCTTCCATTGTCATATATTCGCCTTACCGGTCCTACAACTCAAATCAGATCGGTTATGTATGGTACTGGAATAGTTATCAGCAAGCCAAAATGAAGAACAGGTATATCAATATTTAACCCTATATGAGGGTTGTATGCTGTGCCTGTTCCTGAATGCTTCCAGAAGGTACAAGAGGCACTGCGTATTTTGCCTCCTTCCCAAATTTTCAGTACAGACAGAATATTGGTAATACTCCTAATATCATGTGGAATAGGGCATGGCTTTCTTAATGTGAATTAAGTAGTCTATGTTATTGAATGTCACCGAATAGTATATTGCATAGCTGCTCCTAAATATGCAATATGATTATGCTTTGGGAGGTAGATCTTTGATACCTTGGTATCACTTTGCAGAAGTCTGTATGTGGTTTTAGATTTCATCACTCTTAAGGTTTTACCCTGTGATCCACTAATGACAAGTTCAAGGAATAAATGCAAATTCATGTTTCTCAGTTGTGATGTGAAGCCGCATTTCAAAAATGCAAATCTTTTTTTGGGTTCAGTGAGGATATGGGTTAGTTTTTAGTCTACCGCTCCGAGGGTATGAGATGCCAAAGGGAAAAGGAACGAGGAAAATAATTGACGAAGAAGGCAAAATTATCTTATGGTGTATTAGAATGTTACTTTTTGTTTATATTTAAAATCATCTATCTCAAATAAGAAGCAGTCAGAAAGTAGCAATAAGGAATTACTTGATCTGTCTTATATGCATAACATCAGATTCTAGTTCAACTTCATTTTTACAACTACTGTCTGATTGACATAAGAGTAACTTGGTTGTTTGGGGATAATTCATTGTAAAGCCTGTCTTCACATTATCTTCTCCACAATTGCAAATTGCAGATAAATCGCATTGAAAGTGAATTTGCTTCTTACAAAGTTCGAGCTAATGCTCTACTTCAGAAAAAGGATGCAGAATTAGCTGCTGCTGGAGAGAATGATCAACTCAAAGCTCTTGAGGAAGCTCTTAAGGTGAAATAAGTCATTGTTCTATTTCATATGGAAAGAGAAAAGAATCTTTGTGTCTTGCTTATCATCAATCATGATGTTGATTTTCCTCAGGATGCTGAGAGAGAAATACTATTAGTGTCAGCCGAAAAGGATAAAGCTATCCAAAATCTTAAAGATGCTTTGACTAATTCTGGAAAGGAAATCTCAGCCAGGTCATGACATTTCTCATTATGTTGTTAAAATTCATGTAGGTAGAAGAGGAGTTTCCTAACTCTGCTTCAGAAAGAGTGTCTATGAAGAATTATGTTTCACTCTTTAAGTCGTTTTAAACAATGCTACCGGAATAAGTTTTATATTCACCGAAAGAACCCAGTATTAAGTGCATATGTTTTCAAGCCAATCTGAACTATTTGAATCCATTCTGATTGGATGAGGACCCCAAAGCACTTGGTTTATTGGCCAACCCGGCGGGCAAAAATTATCATAATCACTTCTTAGTTTTAGATACAAACTTACCAAGGCATACTAAGACAAATTAAGACATGTTCGGAGCAGATGTAATTTTTAATTAAGCACGAATAGGGTGATGCCTTAGTATGGAAAAACTTTCAGGTTGGAAAGAAAACAAGAGTAAGGTTTAAATAACAGGAAAGATGCAAGGACAAAAATTAATGATGTGGGTGTCTTATGGTTCATTTTACTTTGAGTTTATGGTCTATTGAATTTTTCTTTTGCTCTAAATTTTCGATATATTAAAACATCATTAACCACCTTTAATTTTTTCTGTTTTCGAGTGAAGGAGATGCATCCTTCACTTATCTTATGTATTAAAGTGGATTATCCAAATTCTTGTGGCAGATGAATTTGATTTTGATTGCTGATATGTGAATTGAAATGTGTATCTTCAGGGATGCATCTCTCAGTACTGCAGAGCAACAGATTAAGAGTTTGCAATTGAAGTTTGACTCTGCTCTTTCTACCCACCAATCTGAGAAAGAATCATGGGACAGAAGCCTTCGAGATGTGGAAGAAACATGGCGATGTACTCGAATAATCTTTTTCCTGTTAGCTGATTTCTGATTTACGTATTTTTTATACTAGGAAATGACCTTTTTGACTAACATTAAAGCTTCACAGTGAGATGTCAAGCACTGGAAAGGCTGAGTGAAGAGTCTTCCGGTCAAAATTTCCAGAAAGAAGTAGAAGAGCTAAAGTTACGTTGTAAAATGTTGAAGGTTGTAGCAACTGTAGTTATCTTATGAGTTGAATTTTGGGTTATTGTTCTTATCATGGCACTATTATATCGCGTAGGAAGAGCAAAGTAATTTTCGTGATCTTGCTGACAAAATGATGGAGGAGAAGGATAATGAGATCTCTAGGCTGTTGGATGATAATAAGAATCTACATCAATTGCTGGATTCAAGACCATCGGTATGCCCCTCTTCTACATAATACCTGCCTCTTTCTGGTCAAATTTGATGTTCAGTCTGCCTTCTTCTACCAGTATATTCTATGTTTCATGTTATGTTTAGTCATAGGCCTGTAATTTGTCAGTCTTTAATATTTTGACCTCTTCTCTTAATTATTTTCAGGTTGACTACTATGATGACCATACAGGTAAAAGATTCAACTTATTAGCCGTAAAGATAATTTTATAACCAGAAATTATAATATCACAATGCTAGCGCTTAAGGGTTGGCTGGAGTTTAATTTTTTCAAGGTTTTGATGGTGCAGCTTTTCAGAAGCACGAATCCTCAAATTCTAGTACTTCAGCGGCAGAGCAACAGATACTAGTATGCACTGTTTTCCCTGTTATGGAATCAGAACTTATTGTTGTTTACATAATAATTTCTCATTATTTTAGATCATCTATGCTTTATCCAAATATGCATGTGGGATAACTTTCTGCCTTCTTCAACTGCCATTTTTATGTTCCCTGATATCAGTATAAACTTAGGAAGGTTCTCAGAATTGTACGGCCTTCTAGTGAAAAGACGTGATTGCTTTAAGAAGAGAGATTTTTCATATTCATAGTTGTCATTTGTAAACAGTTGAATTAAAAAATAATTGGAGGGAAACTTGAGCTCATATGAATAAGATGGATATCTGATTCTTTTGGTGACTGTAAGTTGGTAAACTTGCACGTGCATCTATGTGCAGGTCAAGAGAGTTCCAATACCTCACTTATATTCTTATTTTTGCAGTTATCTCTCTCTCTCTCTCTCTCTCTCTCTCTCTC